CTTCAAATACCTTATAGAACTGTCAATCTCTAATAAGCAGTCAGTTGACTAATAATTCTCCAAGGGTGATTACTTAATATAGGTTTGACTGTAATTGTATTTGTCATGCTCTAAATGAGTGAAAAACTGATAAGGATATGCCTCCACAAGCTTCTTGGCATCAATTGGACAGACAGCACAAAGGTCAACAAACATGCCACACTACAAGTGCTCAGTCCAAGCACTGAGTTCTACAGTTTCAGAAATGCAACTACACTTTACTATTTCAGAATTCCTAAAGACCCTAATATAGCAGGTATTTCTTCTTCTGTCAGAATAACCTAGAGAGTGTTTTCAACAGGTGGCTTGCTACTGTCTGCCATGTTTTTGATGTCCCTCTAAACAATCCCTAGCACTTTTACGGTTATTCAAAAGGTGGATACAGTCACCACTCTCTTAATGGACACCTCTATAAGAAGGACACCCCTGTAAAACGGACATCTAGAGTCGGTCCCTGCCTTTCTTTACTCCCTTTATTTGACTTTCTATAAGACGGACACCTCTCTCAGACGGACACTTAGTGCTGGTCCCAAAGGTGTCCGTCTTAGAGAGAGTTGACTGTATTATCCACTGATGCTCTCTCCTCCGCAGAGGCCTCTTTGTGTTGTGGGAAGGCTGGGGAGAAAGAAAAAGAGAGTATGAGGGGCACCATGGGAAGGGGGAAGAGAGAAGAGAGGCTCTCTCTTCCCATTGTCCCCTGTGCGCTTTCTATTTTTTTTATTATTGTTATATTTTTATAGGGATACCCAGCGGGAGCCTCTGCGGAGGAGAGAGCCACTGACGTAGATTGTCTGTGGGGCATGCAAGGTAGTATTCTTTTATCATGTGATGGAGAGACTGACTGAGAGAGGGAGGGGGGGAAGGAACCTTGACTGTGTGAGTGATGCTAAGGATTACATTTAGCAAACCTTGACCTTAGGACATAATAAAAACCTATGACACCTGGTCTGTGTAGAAAAACAACTGCTATATTTTGAGCATGTGCAGGGCAATAATTATAGTGCATTATTAACAGGTGAAATTCTGGCTAATGCTCATATTCTCTTCCATCTTGCCTTCCATAAAATAATTAAAATGTTTAAAAAATAAAATGAACATGAAAAAAAACAGTACATAAATAAGGTAAGATTTCCGTACAGACACATCCATATGCATATTTCTTTCTGTGAAAAAGTATGAAATTGCTGCATGCATAATAAATGTATGGGGCTGTACGGAATTTCTACCAAAGTTACCTCTTACCTCACAGGCTTTAGGAGTGTCCTCGCAAAAGAGTTCTATTTTCAAGTCTCCTAAGTCGGTATGCAGAGTAACAGACTAAAAATATAGGATTGAAAATGAAAGTCATTTGTTCTCAGTTTGGTAGGTTTAAAGGCTCAGCCAAACCAAGAACATCATGACCCACCATTTTTAGTTTACTATGACGAAACGATGCAGTTTATAGTCGGGGAAGAGAAATCATATCAACGTCTTGTCAACGTGCCGCAATCATCCGCCATATTTTTTTAAGGAGGCAGGGTTACCAAGCTCAACACGACAGAGTATCAAATAAATCTGTTACATAAAAGGGTAGATCCATTGTGCCCCGAAGATTTGTTTTCATTGAGTTGATTGCTGAAGAATGCCGCGAAAAAAACCTTTTAGCAACAAACAGAAGAAGAAGCAGCTGCAGGAAAAACGCGGAAAGAAACGTTTTCAAAATCAGGGTATGCCTTTGGCCTTACAGTTTCAAATACCCACTCTATATTAATTTACTAGGTAGTGTCAGGCCAGGTGTTTTTCCTGTGATATTGTTTTCTTGATATGAAGCGTATCTCATTAAAATAGACGAGCCAAGTAAGTCCTCGAACGACGGAAACTCTGCAGATTCAGAAGGAGGAGAAGAATCGGAGATTGGAGATAGATCATTGAATTCTGATAGAAGTGTCAAACTACACAATCAGCCTTTACGGCCAGATGCACTCAAGAAACATGATCCAAACAGGTAGTCAATACAGTGTTTATACGCTTAATTCTAGCTCAATTTCTTATTATATCACCCTGCACAGTTACAGTGTGCCTATATAATGTATGTAAGGTAGTATTCCACCCCTACTATTTTGTGTTCACCGTGACCTAACCCAGCTTTTCCTTGAGAAAGATCGAATATCGATACTGAGACTTTGGTTG